GGGTCCCTTTCTACACAGACCCACAACTTTGTGACCAAAAATTTTACTTTCAGTTATTAGTTTTGTGTTGGTTTTGGTGGTGTGCGTGGGGGAGGAAAATGATAATGGGCATTAAGTCAGTTGTGGAACCAGCAACAGAACCTGACTCCTGCTTCCTGCTCTGACCAGTAAACCACACAGTCTCTTAGCTGATAAGAGGTGACAGTATGATCAGCTAGCACCTTAGGGCACCTTAGGGCATGCCAGAGCTTACCTGTTATGAAAGTGCCTGTGAAGGCTTTTCCTATTTATTTGTGTCGGTGTGTTTGGTGATTTAAACTCAGGGCATGTCTTCACTAGCAACATGAGGGACGTAGCTACCAGCGCTGGTGCAGTGTCTACACTGGCACTTTACATTGCTGAAACTTGCAGTGCTCGGGGGGGTGTTTCACACCCGAGCGAGAAAGTTGCAGTGCTGTAAAGTACAAGTGTAGACATGCCCTTAGCCTGCCTGTGGAGAATCCAGGAAGAGAGAAACAACAATCTGTGGTTGTTTAAGATCTTTTTATGAAATGGCTTACTGTTGTTTGGTCAATTTCACATCTCAGAGGACTCTTCACACTGGAAACGGTGTATTTCCTCACCGTTAGTGCTCGCTGATTACTTTCCATAGCATGGCTAGGGTAAAGTACACAGCAAAACCTAACTGTATCATAATTAAGATCGTTAGCTATATAGAACCTGACGATGTGAAATCTGCTGCATGGCTACTGTTGATTTAATATGACAGAGCACCTGCTAATGCAGTGGAAAACTGTTCAATGTGTAAATTTCAGTGAATGGAAAATATATGTTTTATTCCTTCATTGGCTGTTTGGTTGATAGGGTCCGTATTTGTATTTTTTGTGGCAATGAAGCACATTGAGATACTATGGCAAATGCACTCTGCCATAAGTAAAAAACAAAACAAAACAGGAGTACTTGTGGCACCTTAGAGACTAACAAATTTGTTAGTCTCTAAGGTGCCACAAGTACTCCTGGTTTTTTTTTGAGGATACAGACTAACACGGCTGCTACCCTGAAATCTGCCATAAGTGCATTTCATTCATTTTATCTCAGGATTTGAATTTTCATATTTAAATCACAGTTTGAACAAATACTAGAGAAATGTGGAAGGGCAAAGATTCTTGCACCTTAATACATCTTTATATGCACTACAGTTTAATATTGTAGCTATTGTTTTCTATTAGAAAACTGGCAAAGATGGATTCCATTTGGATGCAATTACAACGTGTTCTAACAAAGTTCTTGAAACCCTAATCTGTGCTTGTAACTCTATATTAACGAGAGTAATTAGGATGGGAAATGATACAAACAAATTCAAATGATAGAAGATGGTCGTCTTGTGGGATGCTGCATGGTCCAATGGTTTTAGACGGTGATAGGGTATCAAGACTCCTTGACTGTCTTCCAAAGTTTGGTCACTGGCTTTGTGATGTTGTGCAAGTCACTTAACCCCTCTGTGCTTCTGTTATACCCTTTTTTGAAACATGTATTAAAAACGTATCTAGATCACAGAAGCATTTTGTGGCTTAGTTAGAGGTTTGCAAAGACCCAAACTCCTAGGATGAAAAACTGCATGGCCAAGACTTCTAAAAATAGGAGCCCAAAATTCAGCTCCTAAGGCCATATTTAGGCAGCTAAAAAGGGGGTCTGATTTTGCAGAAGAGCTGGGTACCCACCAGCTCCCATTGATTTTCACTTTTGAAAATCACTTTCCGTATTTATCTAATATACTATATTAATTATAGATGTAGGCTGGGATTTTCCAAGATGCTTAAAAGTTTTGGAGGCTTGGGTGGGATTTTTGTAAATTGCTAATGGATTTAGGAGTAGTAAATATGCTTCTAATTCCCTTAGGCACTCTGAAAGTCTCACTCTTCGCTATTTCCCATTTAAGGGAATTGGGCATCCAAATCACTTAGTAGCTTTAAAATCTCAGCACCTAGGTGCCTAACTTTAGTCTAATGTTTTTTAAATCTTGGCCTATCTGTGCAAAATACCCTTTTATTGTTAAGCTTGTCGCTGTCTTTCGTTGCCCCCGTGGTTACATCCTCTTCCTAACCAGTGATGCCACTTTTGGGGCTGTGGGGCCCCAAAGGAGAGGCGGTTGTAGGTGCCCACCATTGCTGGAAGTTGTCACTCTCTGGGAATACTTTTCACCACCAAAGGCTGCATGAATCTAGCCCTATGTTTGTTCAACACTCGCAACGTGAAAAGTGGTCTATGAGTGCCAAAAGCTGTCATTCATCGAGGATGGTCCCATTTTGTCCTTCTAATGAAAACAACCATTAAAGAAATAGGGTGTTAATCATAATGAGTAGAACTCTAATTTCCCAGAAAACATTCAATGGGCAATAAATTCACATCCAGGGTTGGGTACAACTTCTGTGCCCAGAGCCTTGCCAGTAAACGGAGGAGGAAATACATTAAAGTTTTTATGGCAGCTGAAACCCAGGCATTTCCTAGAGTAGCGCCTACTGACAAGAAACATAGAGGCTGGGCCTTCATTTATTTAATTGTTTTAGAACAGTAATAAACTTGAGCTCAAAATGGAAGCTTTCTTTAGTTTTACAGCACCTTAAATGTATACAGCACTGCACAATAGGTAAAACGAGCTTCATGGATAAGAGATCCCTTCCTTGAAGCACTTACAGGCTAAAGACAAGAGACTGCTGTGATACACAACCAAACACATGCAGAGCACAGGGTTGATTGTATGCATCAAAAACCTCCGGGAACAGGACCTGAGGAGTTCTTTGGAGGAAAAGGAGGATGCTTGGGGCCAGTCCTATGAGTGAGAGGCTGAGCACCCTCATTGCCGACAGAAGTCGATGGGAATTGAAGGTTCTCAGCAGCTAGCTGAATCAGGACATGTGTGATCATTGACTAGGCTGTCCTAAGCATTAGGGTTGGCTTAAAGAATAATTTCATTCATTAAATAATTACAAGTATTCAGGCATAATGAAATCACTGCATAGGTCTTTCAAAATCCTATTGCCCTGCTTGGTTCTTTATTGCACAAGCTGTTAGATACTATGTGTCTGAGCCCCAGAATGCAGTGCGTTGGTTCCACGGAGTGCTGAAAAGGTATTATCTAACCACAGAAGCACTCAGCAGAAGTCAGTGAGGTAACCCTGTTTGTAGAAATGCGCAAGTCAGATCAGAATTTGGGCCCATTGTTTAGTGAAAGCTCGCTGGAACACCATGCTATCCCTTGCTTAAAAGGTCACTTCTGCATGTAGGCAAAATTTACAACATGCACTTTGCAGCAGTCCCAATAATCTATTCTTAACTTCCTGTTATAGTTTCCTTATTTCTTACTATTAACTACAAAAGCCTTTCTATGTAAACGGAAGCATTCTCTTTCCTAATCACCATGCTCCTGCTATTCCTGGATTCATTTATCCATTCATGCAATGATTCATTCAGTTCTTTTACATCCATGGGAGCAACTGTGAGGTCACAAATGCTTGACTGTGTCATCAGATCTATGAATCATGAAGGAAGAACCTGGCCATGAAAAGGAAAAGCTTATGTTTATTCACAGACACTTACATAACCAGCAACCCTGGGAAATGAAAAGTCCGAGAAAATTCATGGCAGTTTAATGGGGTTGTGATCAAATATTAACATTTTAAGAGCTTGCTGGAGCATGGCTGTGGTTCGTTCAGGCTGCTAGTGACTTGTCTTTTTATGGAGTGCCATGTGGCTGGCAGAATAATCTACTGATTGAAGGAAAACATATCCTGGTTCTTTTTATTTTATATAAAGATGATAATGCAGCTGTATGACCTTAGGCTGTGATCTTGTCAGATAAGCAATTGGCTGTGAGACCTATAGGGCAAACCAAGGTGCTGCAGGAAATGTTTTTTGATTAGCCGTACCGTAGGAATTGCCATTCTGAACCAGAACCAATGTTCATCTAGTGCAATATCCTGTCTCTGACCAGTACCAGGTACTTCAGAAGAAGATATAAGAGATGTACGTTAAAGGTGAGCTTCCCCACCCCCACCACACACTCTTGGAAGTTAGTGGTTGGCTAGTACCCTCAAACATATATATCCTTCATAAATTTTCTCCTATCTGATGTAACTGTGGATGTTCATATTATTCATGTACATGCCTGATCCTGTTTTGAATCCTCTTACGCGCTTTGCTTCAGTGATCTCTTGTGGCTGTTTGTTCCAAGGGTTAGTTTTACATTGCGTAAAAAGACTCATTAGCTATTCTTCTTCTCCATCTGAAGCAGGATTGAATAAATGTTGCTGGGGCACACTGGGCTGCTGGATGTGCCATCTTTCAAGGGAGATTTACAGCTCTGGTCCTGACCTCTGGTGATCCTTTCAGATCCCATAGCACTTTTAACAATAATTGGGAAGTTATTCCAAGTGTCTTGGCCAAGGATCACTAAGTCCTTATGACCATTTATGAACGAGGCCTCCTAAAACCCCAGAGAGTGAAGTATTACTATAGGTGGGAAATTTAGGCAGAAGATGCTAAGTGACTTACCTGAAGTCACATGTTAAGTCAGTGGCAAAACCAGGAATAGAATTTTGGCGGTTCTAGGTTCCAGACCTGTGCTTATACTACTTTGATTGTAAACCCCTTGGGCAAGGACTTTTCTGTTTCTTCTTTGTTTGTACAGTTCCTAGCACAATGGGGTCCCAGTCCATGCCTAAGCTTTTAGGTGCTGTGGTAATACAAATAATAATCATAATCATAATCATAGAACATGATTTTCTATTAAAACTGTCCATTTGCTCAGTAAGTCTTGGCAACAGGAATATGCCATGAATGTTAACATATGCATAGTTTATAAAGCAAATGAATGATGCTATGTGTAAAATGTTGTTCTTGATAACAAAAATGGATATAGCAGCTTTCATAGATCTATATCCACACTTGAAGTACAGGTACAGAAAGGATATATTTTGAAACCAATCTTTTCCTTCTTTCAGGGGTGCATTTTCTGAAGTAGTTTTGGCTGAAGAGAGGGCTAGTGGAAAACTATTTGCAGTCAAGTGCATCCCCAAGAAAGCACTGAAGGGGAAGGAAAGCAGCATAGAGAATGAAATTGCAGTCCTGAGAAAGTAAGTATTGAATACACGCATCCCCTTCTACGGTTTGAATTGGCGCGTTTGTCCGCTCTGTGGAGCAGGAAGGGCTGTGGTCAGTGAACGAGAATTGTGATTTGTAAATGTGACTGAGTTGCTCAGCTTACTGCAGGTGGTTGGGAACATCTGGGCATAAACTGTGCCCATTTAGGGCCCAATCCTTGCATTTTTCACACACAGTCCAAACTCCTACGGACTCTGATGGGAGGTTTCGGTGTGCAAAGACTGCAGGATCAGGCCCCAAGTCTTGATCATTTATAAGGTACACATTGATAATCATTTCAGCAGTGTGCAACTAAACCAATCCCAAACCTTCAGATGAGAAGTGCCACAACCATGCTAAAGACACAGATAGCAAGACTGAAAGATTGGGGCAAAAGGGCAAACTCAGTCACTCTCAGGCAAACCATCCCAGTAGCTGAATGGGTCCATTCCCATGGAGTGAAGTGGATGGGGCTCCATGGGGCCTCAGGGGTCTGCCTCTTTTGCAAGATCAAGGCTTAAATTAGACCCCCTACAACAAAAACACGTAGGGTTCAGGCACAAGAGTGGGGGGGGGGGGCTGCCCCAAAGAGGAGATTGGTAAGGGAAGGTTGAGAGAAAGCATTGTGTTTTAAGGAGCGAGTTGCAGAACAGGTTGTTGATATAACCATAGGTCTCAAACCTGGTCCCGCAAGGTTTATTGGAACAGTCACACTCCAGCACTCTACCTGGCAGCATGCTGACAATGGCTTACCTGAGACCCATGAAACCCAGCCCCAGTGTGAGCCTTTGCCCCTAAGGTCCAGTTGGCATAGTCCCAGAGTAGCTATTTGGCCCCCTGGCCCTGCCTAAGCCAGCAGTAGGATCAGGAAACTGTCTGAACAACTAGGCTCTGCCTTGCTCTAGACTCTGTGCCTTGTGCTACCTGCTCCTGCTTCTCCTGCTTGATTTCCTGGTATCTCAACCCAGCTTGACTCCTGGCATATGACTTGTGGTTCCCGACCTCCAGTTCGTCTCCTGTCCCTTACCGCTGGTATCCTGACCCGGCCTGATTATGGAGTTCATGCCTCGTGGTTCTGATCTCATTTGTCACCTGCTTCTGACCTCCTGGTCTCCTCACCCAGCCAACTCCTGTCTTGTGACTGTGGACTCTGGCTCTGACTATTAGGTCTTGCTGCCCACGACCTGGCTGTGACAGTTGTGTATTGTTGCCAAGCAACAAAGCTCATCTGCTGTTTAGTGGCCACATCCAGGCAACAGGGGCCAGCAGCACAATCAGGCAGCCTAGAGTAGATGTTGCTTCGATGGAACCATCCACCGATGTTTACATCTTGGTACGAGACTGGTAATTTTCCTACAGTAATGATGGCTTTGCATAAACCTTGACCCCAGGAATGCAGAGCAGACAAATCATTTGGGGTCATTTATTGCTTCTGTTTTGTAAAGTATTTCTCCGATTTTCTGACAAAGCACTTCTTGAGAGAAGAGAAGGCAGCAGCACAGGCTACACCATTCTAACTGCAATGGCAAAGTAGCATGTGGATGAAAAATGCCTTATTTGTCATACAGTTAGATCCACTTGGTCTGCTGCCCACTCAGTGGCAGATTTAAAGTTAGTGGGGCCCTATGCTCAGCTTCATTTTTGGGGCCCCTCCTTGGGACCCGGCCAAGAAAAAGAACATTCTCTCTTATCTCCCCTCCACCCCCGTAGTTCATTCTTTTTTTCTTCATCCTCCTTCTATAAGTAATAGGAAGTAAATGAAAATAAAGTGAGGTACCTTGATTGTTTTTGTAGTCTAACTTATTTTTCCACAGACCACTTGAAAATCGCTGAGGGTCTCGGCGGACCACTTAATATTGTTTGTACCATTGTTGTACTGTTGGCTAACTATTGTAAAGTGCTTTAGATAAGAGCGCTTTATACAAAAAATATAAAAAAGCTTTGGGGTGCGGGGTCTGGCCAGGAGTTCGGGTGCGGGAGGGGCTCAGGGCTGGGGGAGGGGGTTGCGGTGTGGAGCACTTACCTGGGGCAGCTCCCGTTTGGTGCGAGGGGTGCAGGTGGGGATGTGGGAGAGGGTGCAGGAGTCAGGACTGGGAGTGTGTGGGGGTGCAGGAGTCAGGGAGGGCAGGGGTTTGGGGTGCAGGGTCTGGGAGGGAGTTAGGGTGCAGGAGGGGGCCCCGCCTTTGCTCCGCCCTGCCCGATTCCACCTCCTTCCCCAAGGCTACGCCCCTGCCTCTTCTCCGCCTCCTCCCCCGAGGGCGCTGTGGCCCTGCTCCTCCCTCTCCCTCAACCTGAGTGCCAGCAAACAACTGTTTGGCAGTGGGGGAAGTGCTGGGATGGACGGGGAGGGGCAGGAACGCTGCACGCTCTGGTGAGGAGGCGGGGGGAGTTTGGTTGTTGGTGAGTGCGGAGCCTGCAGCAGGAGCCTCAGGAGACAGCAGGACCAATCTTTTACCCTCGCATCTGCCCAGCCCTGGGGCCCCCTGTCATTGGGGGGCCCTGTGCCAGGGCACCCTGTGTTTCACTGTAAATCCACCTCTGTGCTCACTGCACATTAGGAGTTTGCTGCAAAGAGAAAGACGTGTTCATTTTTATCTCTTAATGTCTCCTACTTAGTTGTTGCTAATACAACCTTAGGAGGTCTCTGTATTTATTCTGAAAATAGATTCACTTTGTTAATGTCCCAGTATTGAATTTGTGTGTGGCACCAGGGAAACACTGATTTTTTCTTTTTTTTTAAAACCCTTCTGTTCACAATTGACGAGGGGGTGGGAAATCAGCCTCTTTCACTGTTCAAACAGACACTCCAAATGAATTCTCTATTTGATAGGCAGATATTAGACATAGCTTTATACATGGTTGGGCGGATCCTGAGCCGCGGTTGCTAGGCTGCCAAGGTATCTCTACTTGTCCTGCTTTTGCTTCTGGTGAGCTTAATGCCTAGAGTAATGGTTAGTGTGTATGTTGTCTAATTACTGGTTGGAGTGCCAGAGCCTTGGGCTGATTTAAAAGACCGTAAGGATTGGTGGTAGCCCTTACCCAGCTGTCTGATCCTGAGAATGGTGCATGACTGTAGGAGGTGATAGAGATTCACCCCCATTCTATGAGAGAGAAGTATAGAGCTTACTAGGAGTAGATGCGGCGATCGCATATTAATAGATTCTATGGCCAGAAGGGACCATTGTGCTCATGTAGTCTGACCTCCTGCATAACACTGGCCATGGAACTTCCCCAAAATAATTCCTGTTTGAACGAGAGCTTATCTTTCAGAAAAAGCATCTCATGTGAACAGGGGCGGCTCTATGTATTTTGCTGCCCCAAGCACGGCAGTCAGGCAGCTTTCGGCGGCATGCCTGTGGGAGGTCCACCGGTCCCATGCCTTCCCCTGCCGTTGAATTACCGCCGAAAGCCGCGGGACCGGCGGACCTCCTGCAGGCATGCCGCTGAAGGCAGCCTGACTGCCGCCCTCACGGCGACTGGCAGGCCGCCCCCCGCGGCTTGCTGCCCCAGGCACACGCTTGGTGTGCTGGTGCCTGGAGCCGCCCCTGCATGTGAATATGCAGACCTCTTTGGATCCCAGTCCTTCCCCTTGTCCTTGCACTGTCCCCATGGAGGTTGCTAATGCCATTAGCTTTCACGGGAGAAGAGAAAGGGCCACTCTAATTGTAGCACAAGCAGAATATTTGTGACCTCTTTGGGGAAGAGTCTCTGGCCAGGAGTTCTGTCTTCCCCCTCCCTGTGCCCGATCTGCAAAGGATGAGAGTCTGTTGCAGCCCCAGGTAGAGAGCGTTACCTCAAACTGTGGCAGCCCATTCTTTTAGTCCCCAGTGCAAGTCCCCAGTGGCTTGGCCAAGAGTAGCATCCATCACATAAGGAAACCACCCAAACTATTTACAGTCCTGTAGTGACAGAGGCATGGGCGGGGGGAAGGGGGGTTCACCTGAGAGCTAGGAGATGACACTGAGGAGGCACTCAGCACTCACGGGACTGCCCTGACTCCATGATATGGGGGTTGGTTCCTCACAACTGATAGGCAACCATAGGAAATCTGAGAGGGGCAATGTGTGACAACACTCTTCGCTGGATGACAGCTGCCAGGAGACAAGGCCCCTTGAGGATGAACAACCCAATCCCCACCCAGTCAAATGTAGGAGGGAGAAGACAGAACTCCTGGCCAGTGGGTTACACTTACCCCATTGCTCCAGAGGAGGTTTGTCTGCACCTCCCTTCCAAGTCCACGTAGGTCTCTGCAGCTGCAGAGTCCCACCAGATCATGCAGCTCTGGCAGGCTACATACCACTGAAGTGCCAGACTGACGATTTGGATCCTAGTGAGTAGATCATATATTAAAATGGAGCGTAGTATTACCTTTCTATTTAGGATCAACTTTACATATCATAAAACCTAATATTAGAGCAGGAAACTGGGATTCAGGACTCCTGGATCCTATTTCTGGCACGCAATTTATTTCCGCTATCACCTTAAGTATCTCACATCTTATTTTACGCAGCTATAGTTTGTGAAACAATTTTTTCCCTATTAACTTTTTATTAAATTAATGTATATAAAACAACAAACTATACATAAACTTCTCATAAAGTGTCAACCACTGGCTACCTAGTCTTAACTATACTTAAAACATTTGATTATATATAATATGAATGGTTAAAGTATAAATTAATGATTTGTATTGCACAGTTATACAAATTCAACTAGTTTTTAAATCTTCTTCTGCCTTATCCTTATTTTATACACAGAGAAATTGGAAAAAAATTATTAAAATAAGATAAATAAAAGAAGCAAACTTTAGGGGGGGGGAAGAGAAGAGGAGGGAAGAAAGTGGGCAGAGAAGAGGTGAAGGTGAAAGGGGCCTCTACACATTTAATAGGATCATCCTGATACTTCCAGGAGAGCATTCCATACCTCTGAGATATGGGGTATTTCAGTTACGGTATACACTTCTTTCCAGGGTAGCCAACCTTACAATGTCTGT